CAGATGGAGATCGAATTTGTAGTACTTCGCCAGAGTCTTGAATACGGGTCTCGGATAGACAACACACGTCGATATTAAGACTTTCCAAAGACATAGCCAGCCCTATCTGTTGTCCGACCTGCATAAATGTGCGAACGTTGAAGGCAGCCAGTTTGAATGGTGCACGTGGTTTCAGAAAATCTGCTTCAGTCCTCGTATTCGGTGGTAACATACAATTTTCAACCGGACAGTGACTCGAGAACGTATAGATACAGTCGGATTTCCGCCAAAGACGAGCCGCTGTATAAGTATAAAAGAGGGTGAATAATGTGGAAAATAATAATAATAATGATAATAATAACAATAATGACAATAATACTAGTAATAATAATAACAGTATTAATAATGACAATAATTGTAATGATAATAATCTGAATCAATTGTTTGTTTTTCAAAGCAAGAAAGGTAATTTCCGTAGGCATAAAGAGTTCATCAATTTGTGTGTGGGCTGTGATACTGCCCGGGTGCCCAAACCGAAGCAGGTGGTTATCTTAGGGGGCCACTCCCCGAGCCTTTGACCTAAAGGTCTAACCCACAAGGCAGTGGAGCATCGTAAGGAGATGCAGTCCCATGGTAGCCGGTGACCAACGATTGGTTCATACGCCATTCGTTCCCGCAGGATACTGGAGCCCATGTGCACCATTGATTTGGAATCCGGTTAAAGCGCCGGACATTCGCTTTTCGTCCTCTCATTTTCGTAGACAACACCCCCGCCACGAGAAGGCAATGAGTAGGACTTCCCTGGCAGAGGCTGTATACGCGTGGCCGTGTGAGAGTATTTCGAGAGGGAGAGCGGACTCTCCCCACTCTCGGCCGTACCAGGGCATTCAGGGGGGCCCAATGCCCCATGCTGGCACTGCGGTGCATGGCATTTTGTTCGAAGCTGTCCATATAAACAAAATCGGTGCAGGAAATGTAAAGCTGTGGGTCGTGAAAATGGGTTTTGTCAAAAAAGAGGCCGAGCAGCTCCAGAAGTACTAGGAAGCCTGTCCCTAAATCCTGCACAAACTCGTTGAGTCTGGTAGAAACTTGTCAGAACTCAACCTCAGGTGAGAGGAAATTTATTACCCTTAATATTAATGGGCATCCATTTAGATTGCTAATAGACACTGCATCTGACGTGACAATTCTCTCACGAAAATCTTGGATCAGAATGGGCAGACCACGCACTGTGCCAACAACACAAAAACCTCGTACTGCATGCGGTAATTATCTACGTTTGTTGGGACAACTAGATTGTAAAGTGTCTTTTCACGATTCGACGTTCACTGGGGTATGTTACATAACGCCAGCTGATCTAAATTTACTTGGTTTAGATTGGTTCGACCAGCTGCATTTAGCTGATGTTCCGTTAAGCACCGTATGCCATCTGGTGGAACAACCCCATGAACCTGAAACATATACGAAGAAGCTAGTGACAGAGTTTTCAACCATTTTTAGCCTGTATTGGGTCAGTGCACTGCTATGAAAGCAACACTTCGGTTGAAACCTAGAGCTAGGCCTGTCTTCCGTTCAAAGAGACCTGTGCCGTATGCAGCATTATAGAGAGTTGATAAAGAACTTAATCGCCTTCAACTAAGGGGAGTTATTACACCTGTTTCTTATTCTGTTTGGGCAGCACCCATTGTGGTTATTTAGAAAGCAAATGGCACAATACGAATATGCGCTGATTTCTCAACAGGTCTTAACGCAGCTCTAGAACAACATGGTTACCCGTTGCCAGTTCCTGCAGATCTGTTCACTATGCTAAATGGCGAAAAATTTTTTGCAAAGCTGGATCACGCTGATGCCTATCTACAAGTGGAAGTGGCTGAAGATTCGAGAGAGTTACTTACCATATATACTCACCGTGGCTTGTTTCAGTACAATCGCCTACCATTTGATGTTAAAACAGCCCCATCTATTTTCCAGCAACTAATGGATACCAATCTATCGGGTATCCCGTGGGTCGCAACTTATCTGGATGACATCATAATTGTGGCCACATCGTTAGAACAGCTTCGAGAACGCACGACAGCTGTACTACAACGCATCAGCGATAACGGATCCCGATTACGCCCAGAAAAATGCCAGCTTTTCATGAAGTCAGTAAAATACTTGGGACTCATCTTTGATGTCGCGGGTCGCAGACCAGATCCTGAAAACATACGAACTATAAAAACTGATGCCGACTACTACTAATATCTCTGAGCTACGATCATTCTTGGGATTAATTAGCTACTACTCAGCTTTTGTCCCGTCGATGCATGATATACGCGCCCCACTAAATTATCTTCTGAATAAGAATACTATTTGGAACTGAAAAAAGAGTGTGAAGCTGCATTTTGCAAGCTGAAAACCATCATTAGCTCTGAACTATTATTGACGAACTACGACCCATCCATGCCAATAATTGTGGCTGCAGATGCTTCAGCTTTGGGCTCGGTGCCGTCATCTCACACCAGTTCCCGGACGCACAGAGAAAGCTATCATGCATGCATCCCGCACACTGACTCCAGCGGAAAGAAAGTACAGCCAAATAGAGAACGAGGCTCTCGCCCTAGTGTTTGCAGTTCGCCGTTTCCACAAATTCTTGTACGGTCGAAGATTTACACTTCTCACTGATCACGAGCCTCTTCTCACAAGCTTCGGTTCGGAATCTGGTGTTCCAGTCCATTCTGCAAACCGTCTCCAGCGATGGGCTTGGATACTTTCGGGTTGTGATTTTGACATCCAGTACCGGCGCACCCAACAGTTTGGTCAGGCTGACGCATTGTCACGACTTATCAGCGAACGCCACACGGCCGACGAAAATGCATTTATTGCCTCCCTAATGACAGAAGACCACGCGCAATGTTACCTGACAACTGCTGTTCGTGCTTTGCCAGTCTCAGTAGCTGAAATACAATCTGCATCCAGGAACGACTCCGTCATTAAGAAAGCGGTGAAATACGTCACAATGGCTGGCCGTCGGGACTCATTATGTGTCGTGAATGAATGCTTGATGTTTGGAGATAGAGTAGTGGTGGTAGAGTCCATAAGATTAAGGGTTCTAAAGCAGTTCCACACTGGTCATCCTGGTATAAAACGAATGAAATCCATCGCCAGAAGCTATGCTTATTGGCCCCTCATGGACCAACACATCGTGGATGTAGTAGGCAAATGCAGCAGTGTTAGCAGGCAGCGAAATGTAATGCGAAAGTGCCACCGGTCCCATGGCCACAGCCTGAATATCCCTGGTCCACGATACATGTCGATTTCGCGGGCCCAATTAATGAAATCACCTATCTAGTCGTTGTTGACGCCTTTTCAAAATGGCCAGAAATCGTTGCCGTCATTCCACCAACGACTACCCAAACGATGCAACTTTCGACGGAGATGTTCTCCCGCAACGGATTACCGGATGTAACCGTATCCGACAACGGTTCACAGTTCACATCTAGTCAGTTTAAAAATTTTGCAAACGCCTACCGATCAAACATTTCTGCTCTCCACCTTACCACCCATTGTCGAATGGCCAAGCAGAACGATTTGTGGACACATTCAAGAGAGCTCTAATGAAGTCGAAAGGGGAGGGGACGCTAGTAGAAACACTGCAGAATTTCTTTTTTGTTTACCGAACAACACCTAGTGATATGCTACCGCGGTAGAAATCCCGGCAGAGATCCTGATGTGCCCAAGAATCACACCACCACCATCTCAGAACAAATCTCAGAAACTGCTAACGTACGAGGTTGGATGCCCGGTGTTCGCTCGAAACTACAGAGTAAATCATGGTCCTTGGACCGAAGCATGTGTAGTTGGAAGACTAGGCCAAGTTATGCACGAGGTAAAGGTGGGAAGAGACATGTGAACTAGACATTGAAAACAAGTGCGGGAGCGGATAGCCCCAGACTGCCCATCAACAGGAGTAAATCTTCCCCTTGACATCCTGCTTGATACCTTCAACTTACCAGCAGCCCCACCACAAGAAGCTCAACAACAAGCTGATCTCCGTTCCAGAAGGTGGCCTCTACGACAGCGGCGGAAAACAGTCAAGATGCAAATCTACCCCAGGAAAATACGCTATCAAAAAGGGAAGGTGTGTTGGGGACTTTAGATCCCCAGAACTCACTTGGAAAAGGACCTAATTTTGTAATTTTATTTAGAAAGTTTGAATTTCGTTGTTTTCGCGCCAAAAACGCTCATTTTCACCTTTATGTCTTATTTCCCACTTGGGAGGAACTTAAATGCCATTGGTCCGTTGTGTCTTTCAGTATGCTATTTTGTAACTCTCCCCAAGGACGGTTTTGTGCTGTATATATACGTTTTGATTTGTGTTTGTTGTTATCGCTCGTTTCTGGATGTTTGAGGAATATACTTCCCCTATTCCAGGCTTGGACTTCTTCCTCCAGTTAGCGGAGCTAGGAAGCATCAAATAGCTGGTTTATCGTTTTTTTGGTCACTGAGTCTTTGTTCCGTTCGCAGTCTAAGTGAACTCGTAACCGCTTCAAACCCAGCAATATATATATATATATATATATATATATATATATATATATATATATATATATATATATATATAGTCGAATCTTCAGCAGTGAGAATCCAAGACCCAACCGGAGACCGAGCCCAGGACCTCCGGTCTGGCGAACAACGCTTAGCCTCTAGACCAGAGCCGGAATGTAACGGTGTATATGTCTACATTCAGTCAACTCACGATACTGCGTAACCACTGTTAAATGTTATTGATGGATACAACTGCCTCACGCACGACATGGTTAGATTCCACTGCTCGCGACTTCTCACTATAACTCAATGAATCACTTACAGGACCCAGTAGAATCGTGAACGCGTGCTGTTGAGGAATCCCACGTTAGAACAAAACAGCTGTTTGATGCTTCCTGCTTTTCAATGGTTGTGTCACTAAGGTCATCCCTTGATGTAAACTATAAAATAATTAACATATAAAATTTCAAAGATGGGGAAAAAAGGAAAATTACCTAACATCAACATCTTCTCTACCAGCTGTAATAAAACAACTTTGAGAATTTGCACCAAATCGAGGTAATATTAATTGAGTGATAAGTTCTTCAACAGATGAATCTAATTTACGCTGTGATCCAATTATCCATGGGGATTGAGGCAAACGTCGACTTAATTTCACATAACGACCAGCCAAATAAAGTGGTATACTTCGAAATATTTTCAAAGATGTTATGAATGCAAGTGAACAATTGCTTGAAGAAATTCTATGAATTCAAGAAAAAAAGAATGTATAAGATTATTTAGATGGGATATATATTCTGTAGGTAATTCTTTATCAAATAAACTAATACGTTACAAATTTGTAGGGGAAATCGGTCAGTTATGAATTAATGTTCAAAGGGAATTAATCTCTATTCACTTATAACAGAAGGATGAGACACAGTACAGAAATTGAAAACAAGGAGAATTTGATCAGGTCAACAATCGAAACAAGCATCAAAATAGGTAAAATAAAACACAACTTATTTGTACAAGGATTGCATAGGAAACGTATACAATGTATAAGGTCGACTAGTCATTGATTTACATTTCTCTTTAGAAACATGGAAAAGAGCTGATTGGTTAAGAAACTTGTTTTAATAATCATTTTATCAGTGAGTTGATTCACACAGAGAGTATATTCTATTTGAATACAACGAATATAGTATCTTTATTTCAATGACTGTATTGAATGTTGATTAAATTGAAGTTTTGATTAAAATTGAGTGGCAAACACTTTTTTTTTAAATCGCTTCTTGAAATATTTTGCCTAAAGTTTATTATCATTAAAAAAAAAACGTATTCTATCTGAAGTATCCATATAACATAATGAACTATGCCTTCTCTTATAAATAATTAAATCGAGATTTTCAGTAACCAAAAACCAATTTGAACTACCGAACTGGATAGAGATCAACTTTTATTTACGTAACATAAGTGGTACTAGGCCTAATCAACAGTAACTATGAGATTTGTTAAACTGACAACTAATTATTTTTCAATTCCAATAAACTGAAGACTAGTATTAGATTCGGATCAATGCTAAAGAAATATTAAGTAATTAGGTTAGGGATGCTATCTTGAAAAAGTTTTGAAAGACTTGTTTTTAACAAATTAATTAAGCGTTCGCGTGCGAGATCGAAGATCCTGAATCCGAGTCCCGTGCGAAGGATCGTGGATACGCACTGCTGAGGAGTCCTATACTAGAACAAAATGACCGTCTAGTGCTCCCAGGTTTTCAATGTTGATCTGGGTTAGATCGACTCACGAATTCAACTACAATTTCTAAAAATCCCCATTCTGATAATTAACTATTATTAATTCATTTCGTATAATTTTGAACCTGTCTTTCAGCCGAATCACTTTATGTACTCTTGTTATTGGATCGTTGATGTTTTGAAATACTCACTTGTCGATATATTCCTACGGACAATTTGAACATGTTCAAACGAAATCATTTCTTTCTTGGTGGATTTAATAAATATCGCAGTCAGTAATAAGCAGCATACAACATTACAAAAAGATTTACATTAGCCAACATTATATTAAGATGAAATTATTTAAATGAGCATAAGAGTAATGAAAGCAGTAATACCAGGGAGAGAAGAAGACATTAGACTACTATTCGAATATAATTTGATAGGAAAAAACGGGTTTGTGTGATAAAAAATAAGACAGTTTGAAACTCGGGATTTAAGGGTGAATAAGGAATAAATGAATCTACGTCACTGTGACGGATCCTAAGCCATATCACTTAAAATAAGTCTTCCAGATAAGACTGATTGTAGTTACATCAAGAGAAGAGCCTATCTTCGTAAATTTTTAATGACAGTCCATGATAGTAATATTTAGTCGTTTTCATCAAACCTTAGCCCCCAAATACCCTGGTACTGCCGCGTATACAGCCACTACCAGAGAAGTCCTACTCACTGCCTTCTTGTGGTGTGAGTATTGTTTACGAAATTGAGAGGATGGAAAGCGAATGTCTGGCAATTTAACCAGGTTGGTGGATACGGAAGATCCACCTAGGGGAGTTGGAAAACCCTGATTCCAAATCAATGATGCACACTGACTCCAGGATCCTGAAGGGACAAATGGCGTATGAACTTATTGTTAGTCACCAGCTACCATGGGACCGCATCTCCTAGCGTTGCTCCACTGTCTTGTGAATTAGACCTCTAGGTTAAAGGCTCGGGTAGTGACCTTCTAAAAAGATTACCTTCTTCGGTCTGGGCTCTCGAGCAGTGTCACGCCTCTCACACAAATCGAATAATGAAGTGTGGCATATATATAGATATTCAGTGCCTCTTTGTACCAATATTTATGTATTTAAATAAATGAATAAAACAAAATAATGAAGTTTCTAAAAACTAATAAAATGATACTTACTTCTTTAAATAATTTGATTGTAAACAATTATCTTTTAATAAAGGAATAAGTTCTGTTAAAAGTCCACGAGAAAAATGTAATAAATTTGGCAAAGTATAACCAATATTAATCACAGATGAAGGATTGATAATCAATGAATTTTTATCATTATTTAATATTTGAGAAGAAAATGTTTTTGTTGTTAATTCTTTTCCATAATGAAATTTTGAACGTTTACGTGGTATTTTAACACTTTTTAAACGTATAAGCCAAGAACGTATAGAATTTAATGAAGAATGTTCTAAATAACTCAAAAATTCATCATAATCTAATTGTATTAAGAAATTTGAAAATTCTATAGTTAAACAAATAATATTGGATTCTTGATCACAATTTGAATTGTTAATATTTAATTCATTGGTTTTAATTAATTTTAATTCTGTATCATCACGTAAAGAGTAAATCGATGGAACCTATATATTTGATATAGAAACAAGATTATTCTATATTAAACATATTACATTATGAGGTATGAATTTTGAGCATTTATTGAATAGTTTAATAATAATAATAGTGTGGTGCGTGCTACTTATATTGATATAAGTAGTTTATGAGGCAAGTTAGGAATGTAATGTCTGGCGGCAGAAGATGGGGGAAGATCAAGAAAGCAAGAGCGGGAATAGAATGCAATTTGTATGAAATTGCAAGGACAATGAAGTCTGAGGCATTTTGAAACAACTAGTGGACATTTTGCAAATTAACGATTTGATATATGGTTCTCAGATTTTATTGAGATGTTCTGTAATTTTGTGTTAAATACATTCGACTGTCCCCACCCGTGTTCTAGGAGATAAACTATAGGTACAGTATTGTAGTGAAGGAGAACACAGGTGAGGACAACCGAATTAGACACAGCACAAAATCACAGAGTTACTTGGTAAAATAGAAAAACCATACTATAATACTTAATTTGCAAAATGTTCAATAATTGTCTCGAACTTCATTGTTCTTGCATTTCTATACTAATTGCTTTCTATTCCCGGTCTTGCTTTCTTGATCTTCCCCATCTTCTGCCGCCAGACATTGCATTCCTGACTCGCGTCATATACTACTTATATCAATATAAGTAGCATGCACCACAGTATCAGGGTAGTTGAATCATTTTGAAATTAGCATATTTAAATGTTAAATAGTTTTGAGATGATCGGTAGAAAGTTCTAGACATACATTTCGTGATAGTTGACACTCATTAGAAAGATATGATTACAAATTTAACGAAACTGATACTCTCTAGAAATTCAAATCAGTCACTCAGCTTGGTGATGACACTTATAAATAGATGATAAAAAAGAATGAAGCTCATGCAACAAAGTTGTTTAATTTATCGTGAAACAATTGATACAATTCAGTAAATAAAATTTTCTTTTCGATAATTTCATTAAGAATTAAAAGTAGTAAGTTCTTTGAAGTAATTGATTTAGTGTTGACTGAGATATTTACAACATTAGGTCACTTGATACAATCACCCAGTTACCCGACAGTTCGATAGAAAACAAGATGTAGACCAAAGCATGAGTTTATTAATACAAAGAATCGAGTAATTAGTAGGTAGAATGAATTTTACTCTATAAAATAATTTCTTATATTTAGTGTAGCTGGGTATGTCAGTAGCTGTTAGAATTATTGATGGTGAGCTTATGTTATGATTTACTGAAAATACACTCCCATAGTATTAAGATGATGGAGAATATTTGTAACTTAAGATGAGAGTTTTGAAGGTGTCCGAATTTCTGAGATGGATAAATTAATTTTGAAACTGCACTATCTTTCCTAACATCATCAGAACAAACTCTAATAAGCAGTGATTTATCCAAAATTGACTGGCAACTTGTTTTGTTGACCTAGACTTCAGGTCAGATTTGAAAACAATTAAGGTAAACAAACAAAAACCAATCACACAAATATATGGACAACAATTAATCAAAGTCTAAGTCAACAGAACAAGCTGGTAGTTAATTTTGGGGAAATTCCAATAACTTACTTTCTACTGAAGTTTGTGCTGATGATGTTGTCGAGAAAGACAGTTCAAATAAAGAACAAAACATCTTCAAAACCATATATTATTGTGAAACAAATTAAAAATACATAACATGACAAACTCACTTTCAGTAAAGATGATAACTTTCCATCTACAATCCATTTCCATGCAGTTTTTACTGGAATAGCATATGATCTCAATGCATTGATATCATCTTTAGTGAATTTCGTCTGTAGATTATTCAATTTCTCAATAGTGCTACTATTCGAATTATTGTTTACATGATTAGTCGACATACAAGTTAATTCATCCCATAAAAATTGTTCACGTAGCATAATATTGATCGGTTCAGTGACCTATTTAATCGAAAAAAGAAACACAATAGCATAAATGAAACAAAACTTGGCTAGAAGCAATTACTAGTAGCAATATTAAGAATAATATGAGAACAATTTACTGAATATCATTTCGTTATAGACTTATTCATGACTATTATAATGATGATAAGAAACGAGGTGCATAGATTTTGTGTGAAATAGTCGTAAGTCAACACTGCTGATAAGTTCTGAACTAAGATGAAAAATATAATCAGTAATCTTGCATTCAAATGTTTCTTTAGCTAGTGTCACAGCTCGTATTGAAAACTAACCATAAACCATGAAGTTGATACCGAAATGTTCCATACATGCAGTACAGTGAAATAATTAGCCAAGATAACTGGAAAACACAATATCGCGTCTGTATCCTACATATAATATAAACCCTATGAGAGAATTCAAACTCAACAACTGATTTACGATGAAAGTATCGAGACTGAATTAAGTACCACTACTAGCGAGGAAACAAACTAAAACATTAAAATAAGAGTACAAATGGACCGGATTAGTAGTTTGCTACGACAGTCATATAGCAGGTAAGGCATAAAAATTATGAAATATAGACTACTGAATATGAATAAGTAGTATAGTGTAACAGATAAAAAAGGTCAGTCGATGGAATTAAGTAGACACGAGACTGGTTTAAGGAATGTGAACTACCGTTTGGAGTACTAGACTCCCCTTGTATATCTGTTTCAAACGTTAATAACAAAACACACAATTGCATTCCGTTTTTCTTGCCTAAACAATGAGGAACAATCAAGGAGAATTTCCATAGCATCACTCGAGTTCCATGGCACTAGAATCTTAGCGGTATATATTAAGCGACATGCAATGATTGTGGTTCATATCACACAAAAATGAATAAGTATAAGAACCAGTTCTCTCAACGTCTCAGATATGCTTAACTGACAAGTGAAAACTACGGAGAATTTTCTATCGGTTGTCTTCAACTAACTGAGACCAAGTCTTAGTATATATATCGATTGTGCTTAATAGTGGAATCCAGAATAGGTACTTCGCCCTACCTGTAACCAATAACTGACTTTATTTAGTGGTTTCATATCCACTGCCTACCGCTTCATAACACAAGGAAAAAAAGTAAAAACAGTGAACATTATTTACTCACGTACCCGAAGTTGATATGCTGTATATTGATAATGGGATCCATTTAACTCTTTATATAAATAGAGCAAAATATATTTATCAAATTCTTCATTGGTAAATTCCACTTCATTTTGTGATTCATTAAGATTTCGTGGAATATCACATAAATAAGGATTATGCAACAGGCCAAAACAAAGTTTACATATAAACTCATCAGGATATGCTTGTGAATGAAAGACATTGAGTAAATCTATTTGTTGACAGCGACCATTAGTTAACCGGATGATACAACATTTACAAATATCGAAATCAAGCATATATTCCCGAATACAGGAAATGGCTTCATCTGGCATTGTCTACATGAAAAATTTTAAAAAGTGCATGAAAAGGTTTTAGTTTTATTTTGTGCACATGTGAGTGAATAAGCGCAGGCGTATACAGTAAATGTGAAACGACCTATTCTATTTGTGTGCCAGATAAAATGAGATTAGATTACTCTTTTTGTGAAATACATATTATATGAGAATTGTAGATGCTACCTAATCGAACAAAGCAAAACAGCTGTAACATAGTCAGTCATCATCAACCAAGAGCTTGACATAATTCGCCGCATCATATTAGTACGACGAGATGAAAATAACAAGATGGATTACAACACAGATAGAAATAATGTAATAGCAATGACAATCATAACGACTAAAGATTTGGTTCAGAATGGCAGAATGAAAAGGTATGTATAAAGGAGTAACGCAATTCGAAATCGAGAGGCAGATAAGTAGTGAATGGATTTGCAACGTTGTGAAGAATTCTGAAGTATGTCACCCTAATGTCCCCATCACTGGCCAGGTAGTCTAAGTATGTTAGGATGGATTAAACCGACAGTTAATGACTCCATGTAACGTATCTCGAACCCACAACTCAATGGGTAAAAGCCAAGAAGATTAACCATCAAACTGTAGCAATATATTGACAATCAGGTATGTAGCACCAAACTTGTTTTATAATTAAAGCGATTAGAACAGACCATCTGTGTATATCAGAAAATGATTTTCATCACCTTTAAAGATTAGTTTGAATAAAGTCAATTCAATCATAAACTTTTTCATTTGAAGAAGGACGGTTAAAAACTTTCATACACTTCTATATCTATATGAAGCTCACTGGATTCAAGATAAAATTCAAGTAGCCTTAGTTTAAAAGAAATAATGATATATATGTAAAGGCAGGATCATTATGGGAATTTAGAAACACGACGGAACAAAAATAATATAGAACAATAGTCCAATGAACAGATACACTTGAAACTATTTATTTTATTTTATTTGAACACATAGATATTGGTACAAGGAGGCACCAAATACATATGCGCCGCACAAACCTCATTTGATTTGTGTGAGGGCTGTGATACTGCCCGGGTGCCCAAACCGAAGTAGGTGGTTTTTCTTAGGGGGCCATACCCGATTGAATAAAATTTGTTTCTCGTTAACAGAAAAACTGACTTGAAGATTTTAAAAAATACATCTTAATTCTCTTATTATCAAAGTATTAAAATATAGTGCCTAATGAGTGTTGTTGAAAAAAGTATCACATTAGTTAAAATTTAAGATAAAAATATACAGAGAACATTGCGCATTTAGCGTTAATTAGACGATAATAACAATATTGTGATGATCATGACGATAATGATAATATAAAGTATATCATTAAAGTTTTAGAAACAAATAAATAACAGGGCTTTAGACCTTACAACATCACCATAAAAAAGACTAAAGTATGTGAACTAACACACTGAATGGCTGAAAGTTAAAAACAATGAGACAAAAGGTGATGTACAAAGAAACATTGACTAAATTTAAGTAATAGATAAACTTCGACGTGAATGTAATTACAAAGATATGATCGTGATGACGACATATGCCATTATTTAAATATTCAGGTTATTAACAAAAGTAAAATTTATTATGTTTGCGATTTTAAACGAGATTACTTGCTAGATTTGCTATTCAGAATTCCTTTTATAACTTCTCTACAACTGTGTAAACTAATTCGTCTCCTTGTATCATTCTAAGCTTAGACCAGTTACGTGCTTTGACTGGTAAGCTTTAGTGTGACCCCAACTCCTATTAATCCTGATCGTATCCCCTTCTTCTGTTCCAAATCTTCAGTCCGATAGTAAAATATAGCAGTCAAGCTTCTATTGTATATTTCAGTCGCCCGATATGTCTATCTCAAGTACTCACTATCAGTTATCGCAATGAATCCCAAATATGAAATCATACTTTACATACAAGCATGCTATAAGTAAGCAGAGAACGGTACATACTAAATTACCAATAATTAAGAAGTAATAGATCGTATAACAATAGTTAATAAGTCTTAAAGAAGCCTACAATATTGAGAATATACAAATACAATAATCCGATTGTTTAATAAAATTATACATAAATAATAAGTAATAATAACAATCTGAAAAATAGTCCCAAACATCCAAATGTCCTCAACATTTCCCCTACCATAAAACATCTCAAGTAGTAACGATAACAAGCATATTTAAGTGTATACTGAATAAATACAAGTTATTATGAAAACTAGGGAAAAACAATTATATTTCAAAACTTTATTTTAATATCAATAAAATGTTAAGTGTTCACTGATAAGACGTCTGAACGACAGTTAAAGTGAGACAGATTTTCCATGCAGAACAATCTCAAGATCAGTAGTTTTTTTGTATCAAACTACTATATCTTCAGATAATTTTCTTCTGGAAGTACTTGATGTTGTTTAGAAGAACAATCAAAGGTTCACAACTAAACGATCCAGCTTAAAGACTACAACACTTCCAATTTTCATCATTAGCCAACTTCAGTTAAATAAGTACTAAGAGATCAAGGAGTACTAGATAGCTGTATAGTACTGGTTTAGGTCTTTCAAATACTGGAAACCAGAAGATTAGAATTTTAACTATACTTACTTGATATTAGTTTTTGATGAAACTTATCTTCAGATTGGATAACCATCCATAAATTAGCTAAGTAGCTTAAAGCAAGATATATATATATAGAAAACCTTTTGACGATAATCACATAATACAACGAATATTATATAGATAAAGAGTTAAAACAACTAGACATTAAGTTGCGTACTTATATCAATCTTTCTATAAATTATTGTCCAGCTATGTGCATAATGTTATATTCAAAAGCTTTATTTTGATAGCCTATGCAAAACTGAATTCGTATTAGTGAACTATGGGTTCATTTTATTTGACCTAGATAATCAGATAATAAATGTGGTTTGAAAACCAATTGTTTATTCAAATATCAAGAATTCGAGAATGAAAGTACTAATCATATTGTCCCATCAAAGGAAGTTATTTATTTACAGCACCCAGTAATGTGTTACACAAAATGGAAATATTGTGAAAAAACCATAAGAGAAATCATTAAGAAAAATCAACACTATTAAGTAGTGTGAGATGCAATTCGAACAAGAACACAACTAGTATATATTTCACTAAGTTAGAAGGTGGGTATTACAGTATATGAAGAGTACAATCGAAAACTGTAGCACAATAGTTATTAACATTTATTTCGAATCATGCCCGTTAACCTTTTAATTTATTGAGTTACGCTGTCTTCAGGACTCCAGTCAGGAATTTATGACGGACAATTGAATGCTGAACTAACAAAAAGATTTTTTTAGTTACAAGCTGTCATAAATTAACTAACTCTCTGAGCATCAGGAAAATAATATGAAGTAGGATTATATTTTCATCAAACAGGTCTGTTAAGGATGCTAAATTACTATATACATTAAGAAAGAACTGTTTTTGAATTTACATATTGATTAAAAGTGAAGTCTGCTTAGAACGTCTCAATGCATTCTAATTGCATTAATTCCTTCTTTAAGAAGTTGGTTTATTGAATTTCATAACATTTCATTGTATTAATTAACTTTTTTTATTTTACCATATGAGTGATAACTGCTTAGTTCATAATCGTTAAAATTAGTCAGTCAGTCAGCTACAACGTAGGACCAGACACATATGTGCATCGGTCCAGGTTGCCATACCGCATCAGCACAACAAGATGAACACTGGATTCATAGCAGTGGTTAGGTCAAAGGTGGTAATATATAACAGAAAGATTGCATATAGAGATATAGTACAAAAAGAAAGAATTGGTTCGTAGAAAGAAAGATATGAAGCAACTTTAATCTCTTCGTTTAAGGGAAGACAGGGAGTGTATACACCGACGCCATTGTGATCGATTCTGAGACATGTCACCAAGAGTCTCCAAACATTGGTTACGATAGTCACGCAGACCCCAACCAAGCAGTCTACATCTACTAACATGGCTCAGACTAGAAGTTAGTGACTTCAAGCACTGATGCCATGTTTTGGTTTGGCCACCCCTAACTTTCTTCCAACCATCTCCAACACTAGTCAGCATTGCGCGTTGTGGTAATCGGTGTTCAGGCATACGTAACACGTGGTCCAACCATCTCAGTCGATGAAGATTCATAACCTCATCAACTGATTTACCATCATTTCCTAATACCCTGCGCCTAACCTCGCTATTACTTACCCGGTGATCCCAGCAGACGCCAGCAATATTTCTAAGGCATCCGTGGTCAAATACTAATAGCTTACGAGTGTCTCCTACTCTTAATGGCCATGTTTCGCTGCCGTAAAGTAAGACAGAACGGACTGCCGCGCAGTATAGTCGTCCTTTTATTGGTAGACGGATATCTCGCCTTCGCCACAGGTGACGTAAGTTGGCTGAAGCCAAACGAGCTTTTCGAATCCGTGCTGAGATTTCGTCCGATACCAACCCATTAGGGCTGATCAGACTTGCAAGATAAGTGAAGTTGTCGACGTGTTCGACTACTTCACTCCCTATCCTTAGTTCAGGTGTTGACGCTGATCAGTCCTGAAGCAACAACTTGCATTTAGAGGGAGAGAAGCGCATTCGTTAAAATTAATTGATATATTATTGAATCAAAGTGAATATAAATTCACTTTCGCTGTTTCTTATGGTACATTTTTCTTAATAAGATTTGTCTTTTAGAGTAGCTAGGGTTAGAACAGAATAGAGCTGTTGTGTAAGAGTATTGATGTTGTGATTAGAGTTATTGACAACTATTAAATAGAACTTGAGATCGGAATGTGTCTTAAATTGTACTTCCAGATTATATCAGTATTTAGAAACAACCATATGTGCTTAAGTTAACTGGTTTTTTATTCGCGAGCAATAATAATAATAATAATAATAATAATAATAATAATAATAATATAGTCTAGCATCTGAGTTACTACGTCTGACAAAATGATTCATATTAGTAGCGGGTTAAAAGCACAGAAGCACAAAATTTTACACGATTGGATGATCTCCAAAAACACCTTAGGTGTTTATCAATTCTTTCATCAATGAAAGCTAGTAATGTTATCACATGATTCATTGTCCTCTTCTTATACATTTAGCATATTTTGTCACCATAGTCTTTGATACACCATAGTTACGTAACACCTTTGTTTACAAGGTAAACATATGTAAAGCGTTAATAACTGGCCTACAATATTTTCATTGTTGCTCACATGACTAAGTCACTAAAGGAACTTTAATTTAGTTTTTAATAGTTTGAGCTATCACGTTGTTGATATTTTGACTGATATCAAATCAGTCTTAATTAAGATATGCGCACTCTATGTGACTTACATCGATAAAAAAACCATGACCAAAGTTTACATATAACAAATGGAGTATGGGGAGCAATGGAATCTATAACACTCGTGTCGTCCTATTTGGGATCATCGGCTGAATGTACATGCATCCCAGAGTTGATGTTCACTCCGGAACTCGAACCCATTATTTCTCACTTTAAATGTCAATACGCTATCCACATAGCTACTGACTCCAGCAAGTCACTCACTTATACAACAAGTATGGATATTAATTTAACGCCGATACAGGTGCATCCAGTTGACGAGTTCAAAACAGGACGAAACGAGTCTTGTATCCCACGACTAGCTACATTACGTCTGTTCTATTGAAGGAAATTGTTGTGAACCCTTCTTGTGTGGTGTAAAATCGTTCCATTATTACCCAAACTTTTACACTTAAAACTATCTACAATAATACTTTCCAAGCTCTTTATCAGCTATATATAAGAAAGGGTTGAATGAAGTGGTATGTCAAATACGTAACTTCATTATAATCAGTTTTAAATGACTAAATACTACATTCAACTGATTAATGAAGCCGATGGAAATTATACCAGCTGAATGAAATATACGGCCGCTCTTACTAATAAGTCTAGAGATTAAGCGTTCGCGGGCCAGACCGAAGGCCCTGGGTTCGAATTCTGCGAATGGGATCGTGGGTGCGCGCTGCTGGGGAGTCCCAGAACAGGACGGAACGGCCGTCCAGTGCTTCCAGGTTCTCAATGGTGGTCTAACACCAATCGGTTCATGTTCTCAATCAGAAACTTAATAATCTCCACAACCCTATCCTGATAATCCCAATCTTTACAGAAAATGAAGAGTAAAACTGGATTTTAGCGGTGATCCAAATAAAAAACAATTAAGAAACTAGTAAATTACCCTTTCCTTATGCTTCATAGTTAGTGGGGAAATTTATCTAATAATCACCCATGATGCAAATTCATTGTGTTTACGTGAATTTCAATTGTTGTACCGTTTGATAAGTACTTGCATGTTACTTTTTGGAAATCTACTCGTTGGATTCACAAATGATTAAACTGATTCTTAACCTGGAAAATACAGAAGCCGTAATAAAATTTCCGAAGACTGTTGGCAATTTTATTAGTTTATTTTCAAGAATAGGATTCGCTTGTCTACTGACGAAGTTTTCTGGAAGCTGATGTCGAAGGTCTGTAACAGAGTGACGGTTGGACAAAACCACTGAGTTCTAGAGATTCTGCTGTATAACTTTAAGGACTAACTAGCTGATTCCGATGAGCTATCGACAATTACACGATCTTCGATTAAGTAGCCAACACCTATTAATATGACTCAGTCCAGTTATCAACTTCATGGACCTGTACCATGTTTTGATTTGGCCGCCTCTAGCTTACTTCCAATCCACTTCTAAACTAAACAACACCCATCAAGGTAGGCAGTGAGCGGACATACATGACACATGTCCTAATCAGCCTAGTTAGTGAACATTCACTAGCCAATCAATCGGTTCGCCATCTTTACTCCTTAACCTATCCCTGACCTACGAATTACTTACTCGGTGGTTTCAAAATACACAAGCAATGCTGTGAAGACACATACGACCAAATACTAGTAACTTGCAAATACCTATTCTTAGTAACCATGTTTCATACCCATAAAGAGAATTGCTGCACATTTAACTCGTCCTTCCGTTGGTAGATGGATATATTGCCTGCGCCACAATGACACAAATCGGGAAAAGCCAATCGAAAATTAGGGATCCGTGTCGAGATTTCGTCAGGAACCAGGCCATCAGGACTGGTCAGACTTTCAAGACAAGCGAAGTTGTCGATACACTCGATTGCCTCATTCCGTATCACTAATCCGGACGCGGACAGAGACCAATCCTGCAGCAGTATTTTGAATTTGGAGGGAGAGAATAGCATCACAAATATGCTTAAAGTGTTATTTAAGATGTTCGGAAGACTGCATATTTTCAGCGTCTTTACCAAACAGAATTATATTACCTGCGTATTATAAATAAGCAAGCGTGTCTCCTGGCAGATTGGTCCCTAAAAATCTAGACGATGAGAGCGCTATCTTTAACAGAATGTCTGTGACAAAAATAAGGACAGGGAAGTTGAACAACCTAGAAAACGCCGCTGGAGGTTAATAATTCTGATGACAGTTCGCACTGAGCTCTGATATTCATTCAATATTTTCCCGAAATAGTTTCATTAAAAGATGGGTTTTTAATACCTCTTTCATTGATAAGTCTGAATAGTCGTCTACCATTACTTGCTGCTGTTGCCTTTTCTATATATCATCTTCATCGAGAGAAAAACTGGTGTACAAAGTATCGGACTCCTACAATGACACATCAAGGAAAAAGATATATGTACATATTTCCGGTAAGCAGTTCCCCTAAGGAGATTTGAGCCAGATCTTAACTTTCTATCACTGTCGGTTTGAAAACACGTGTCTATGAAATATACTCTATATTTATACTGTTCAAACAACGAATCCGACTCAACAAGTATAACTAATAATTTAGACGTGAATCGTGACTAAGCGACAGTTTTTAATGCTCAAGTCAACTTCCCAAAATGAAAACAAAAACAAAACTAATAAATGAAGAACGGGGAAATCCAGAAAGTTCTTGGGAAAGAAAGGGTGATTTGCCATAAGTAAGAGCTGATAAGACCATCCAGACTCCTGAGCATAAGTATGGTTGGGCGTGTGATCAAGTAGTTGGAAGTCAACTTCTTACACTACAGAGTGACACCATATTACGCCACCCACAAATAAGCACTTAATTGAGAAACACATTTTATTTTGTAATACAATCATGCCGTGCAGGGAAGAGAAAAAACTCTTTTGACAAAATCTGTATATTTATGATCAAATTTATACAGAAATATATAAGTAACTCTCTCGACCAGAAAGGTTAAGGTATAATTCAAGAAGGAAAAGTGAAATCATACATATACATGTAGGCAATCAATGCTTCAGTCCACTATAATATATTTTAAAAAATGAAAGACAAATGGAGCAGTGGTGTTTTGATCTGCAAAATGATAACTGGAAGCAATCTAGTCAATATAATTAGTCCAATTATTCACGTCATACTTATGTATACTAGCACTTGGAGAGGTAAGATAAAATGAAATATGTATACAAATTATCATAAAGAATCAGTTTTCAACAAATACAGACTTTACATGATAAAATATATAGTCCAAATAAAGGCTTTGTAAGGTAAATAAAACAATAAATTTCCTGAATGAGTAGGTACTGTTTACATATATACACAAAACAATAATCAAGTCATAAATTTATACAAGGACACATGGATATACAAACATGTTATGTAATGCACTAGAGCTTTTATAAATGCACCATTAAAACGACGCTCTTTTGCTGTGTTTACTTGAGGTTTGGCACAACTTAGTAGCATGATTGAGGCTAGAGAGGCAAATATTAATGGAATTAGAGTCGGTGTAGTGATCTTTGAAAGAAGTATTAGGACGTTTTGGCTGTAGTCGCTCAAGATGTGGCATCGGCGTCCCCCACCAAGCTGAACATGCTTCTGTAAAAACAAACTGCAAATACATACACTGACTTCGCGTGGGAAATGAATATAGAAATGCTACTTCACGCAGACTATGAGATGGTTCTAAACATTCTCCATCGAGGTATAAATCTACAATTTGCCTGGTAGGATCAAGTTGATATTTGGATAGCAATAGATGATGGAGGTTAGCGACAGTTACTACAGCCGGACATAAAAGATATATTGAGTTAGAATACTGTTCATTAGAAAGTGGTGAAGGGGGTTGGGAACGACTAGATTCACTTTTTGAAGCTAATTTGAAACTGTCGTGACGTTTGCAAATTACCGATTCAGATATCTTTGAATATGACGGAAAACTTGTTAAATGTATTAGAGCCAAACTCACAAATTCATCATCTGCTACTAGAAATGCGGCAGAATTTGGTAAACGGTTGGAAACAAGCATTTGAGTTGCATGAGTTGAAGAAACAAGTCCACATGGACTTTTAGAAAGCGATCGAGTTGCAAGAGCAGTTGGAAGGGGTGAAGAACAAAGATCTGTAGAAAGAAATTTATTCGAAACTACGCAGTTACTAAAGTTATACCTAGTTTGCGATAAAACAGTAAAAGAAAATCCGACGCCATAAAAAATCTACATTGACCCAAATTCGGAAATAGACACGTGAAGAATAAGAGCGGCAATAAAATGAAAAAAGAACATTAGGTATTAGAGCGAAGACAAAATCAACGTCTAAGTAAGGAGTGGATACAACTGTGTAAACAATTAAAGTTTTATATAGAGTATTTATTAACTACATTCTGTCACACCAAGGGTTTAGCTAAACCCTTGGTGCGACGGCTAGTGATACTACAAGGTTATCTAGACGAAGTAGGTGAGGTGAAGTTGTAAGTTGAAACGTATTGGTTGAAAGTAAAGTGCACCAAAAACTAAGCCATAACCCAACGAAAAAATCCTAGTTGACAACTATTAAAAAGAGACTATATAACAATAGATATCCACCTAGATTTATTAAGAAAAATCTGACATCAAAAAACACACGTCCATAGCACCAGAGAAGACTCTATGAGCATTTAGTTCAAGAGATACTGAAGCAGAGATTCTGAAAGCATACTTCTGAGATTTTTGAGAACAACATTCTATTCGAATGAACTTCGTATTGTATTTACTAGTCGACCTGCGGTTTGTAGTTGCACAGAAGATACGCTTCCACTTTGCCTTAAATTAGTGTCTTTATTTATTTATTTTAACACAAAATATTGGTACGAGGCACCAAATACATATGCGCCATACAAATCTCATTCGATATGTGTGAGGGCTGCGATACTGCCCGGGTGCCCAAACCGAAGCAGCTGGTTGTCTTATGGGGGCCACTCCCCGAGCCTTTGACCTGAAGGTCTGATCCATAAGGCAGTGGAGCATCGTAAGGAGATGCAGTCCCATGGAAGCCAGTGGCCAACAATTGGTTCATACGCCATTTGTTCCCGCAGGATACTGGAGCCCATGTGCACCATTGGTTTGGGATCCGGTTAAAGCGCCGGACATCCGCTTTTCGTCCTCTCATTTTCGTAAACAACACCCCGCCACGAAAAGGCAGTGAGTAGGACTTCCCTGGCAGAGGCTATATACGCGTGGCCATGTGAGAGCATTTCAAGAGGGAGAGCGGACTCCCCCACTCTCGGCAGTACCAGGGCATTTGCGGGGTCTATCAGTTTACTTGTTCATGTGAAAGGGGTTATATTGGCTTCACAAAGCGAGCTCATTCGAAGCGCATCTTTGAACATTACTCTACATTTCTAAAGGATTACAGAAGTCAGTCGAAAGCCCAATCCTGAGACATCTAATTAATTCTAATCACTTTGGTTTACCAGATGCTTCCTTCAAAATCATTCATACAGTTGACAGTCGGCTTAAGATGAATGCAAGTTAAAAACTTATTCACAGTGGAGGCTATAGCTGTCCACCAGTTGAAGTCTAACCTTTGTGTACAAAAGCAGTATGTCCAGCCCCTTATCTTTTCATGGTCTTAACCTTCCTTTCTATCTTTCCTTATGTATCATTTTTCTCTTCCTTTCTAATCATTTTCATAACTATTAATTATAATCGTTATTACAATTTTTAATTATTCTGTTCTTAACAGCTAAGAAGTAGACTATTGTCTTCAGTTTAACATGTTTCACCGGGCGACTGCTATACAACTTCCCCTCAATACCTGATTTTCGTGAACAGTTCATGACAAGATATAGCTACAAGCTCTCTGATAATTCAGCACCATTCTATCTACTAGACTTGCTTTTAGTAAACAAAGTGAACTGTGAATACGACTGTACATGTTCTGTAAATGAAATCGTAGAAAAGAAATCTCTCTTAGCCTACGAAAATTCTGTTGACTAAAGGTATTTACTATGATATAATTTTCATACGTCCGGTTGCCAGACGGAAATAATAGAATGGATGATCGTAGAAATCGTAGAAATACAACCAAAGGTTGAAGTACAAGAAGCTTTTGGTAACCCTGTAGTGTTATGGGATCTCTGTTCAACAATTAATAGGATGCACCTACTACAAATAACCATTTTAATCTGATTAAGAGGTTTGCTTAAAAACGTCTATATTTCACACCTGACAATAAAATATGATTATGTCTTCTCAATTGAGTAAATTTAGTATTTCGCAATTAGGATTCTCTTGAAGATCTTAATTTATGGTATGCCTATCGATGAATACAGATGATTAACAAGCAACTAAAATATTTTTCAAACTTTAATTTGATAACGGTGCAAACTAGCTAAGAAAAAAGGATCGTCCAATATTTGCCACAAACGTAATATTACAGTACCGAGTTCTACGCATCATTATTGATAGTTTCCATACACTTAACATATGAGTAACTGAGAACAAATGATACCTATGATGTGAGCGATCGTCACTTCCTGAATTCCCACACCATGTAACAATACTTCTTCTTAAAGGACCTACGTATTTAAAGGGTAACTGCCTGAGACCAGTCATATGGGTTTTTTGCAATTTTTGATATTGGATGGATACCTCTCAGACCTTACTGTCTACGAAAAAAATCTATCACGTGAGGCAAAATATACTATATTTAATGATGGTCCTTACTAAACCTCTTTTTCTCTGTGAGAATGCAGCGTCGTCGTAGATGTTGGTTGTCAGAGAAAACTTACTGCCACCACACCCTGAGAGTCAGAAACACGAAGTTGTTCTCAAGCCTTGTTTAATGACCTTAGTCATATGGAACACCGATAAAATCGTCTAAATTAGCAGGATCTTAAAGAACTAAAGTGTCAGACGTTACTAGATGGTTAGGTTGTCACAATAAGCAAACTTGGCTACATCACATTAGTAGCGACAGTGAAAAAGGACTGTTAGACGAGTAGTGCTCGCATCTATCAAGTATGGACCTCCCGGATTCTAACGTGAATGACTAGTTAAAACGACAATCCTGGACTTGTGATATTACCAAATGTATCCAAGAGAAGAAAACAGATATAACAATTTAGATCATACTTGAATCCCTGAAGTCACCTGACAAATGACCGCTTCATAGCAATTTAATGTAACACAATAAACGCCACGCTTATACTGTAGGTCAACTCTCCAGCGGCGTGTGGTGGATGAGTGATAATTAATATTACAGAGGGTTTTTGTTTCCATGACTTGTGAACAAACAAAAGGACACATACGGTCACTTACAAGACGAATGTAAAACGACTCTATCGCTATTTGGGGACTCGGTAGTAACAAGATAAAGCCAAAAAATGGAAGCAACAAAAAGTGAATGACGTATGACTAGTTTTCTTACCTGAAATGCTATAACTAGCAGTGCTACAGGGAATGCAGTTTTTGGGGAGAATTTCCTTGGTGCAAACCATTTTGTCTGTGCAGGACAACTCTTTTAAATACAATTCTTTGAATTCCGAGATTCTTTTCATCTCAGTCTTCAGTAAACCCGGGACTAATTTATATACAATCCGCTGTAAAGCGACATCGGGACGGAGGGCTTGGCCAGGTCTGGTTTCTTGTATCAAACTTTGACATAATGGACAAATTTTGTGCTCCAATAAATACTTGAGGATGCAGCTTCTGCAGAAGACATGGATACATTCTGTAAGAACAGTCGCATCTATTAGATAACCACCACACAGTCCACAAATCAGGTGCCCATTAATGGAGGAGAGTTTAACTCCAGGATATGAACTTGTCATTGATAATATCCAATTCCATGCAGATGTCTGTCAAACATCGGTAAACACAAACAAAACATCCAAAGAGGTTATTGTGGACGGCCTGCAGCGCGCCAAAAGTTCAAGTTTGAAACTGCGCGGCTGCAATATTCAAATGCACGATATTAAACGTTTGCAAGAAATGAACTCTTAAATATGGAGCTTTGGGTCTTTGCTCTGATTATCCGACAAGAATTGATCAGCGAGCGTATGGGAACCATCCATACCTACGCCTGTTATCATGCTGTTTCGACTTCACAGTTTCCGTTTGTCATATGAACGGTTAAATATAATCTCACAGATGCTGCTATTCTTTGAAGCAGAGTTAAAACAGAGAACCGGGATTTCGATAAGCTCTCTGCACCCAAAGCAACTAAATGAAGAATGTCATTGTTACAAATTACTTGTACATTAAACTTACAATTCTTGGATGACAATGACAAGGGGCACATGTATTTCGATGATAATCAGCATACGATCTAACTTGAGTTAGATAATGGGCTGTTAAAGGTGGAAAGCCCGACGTGATTCAAGCAGACAGCCCTCATTTTATGATTATTATTAATTACAGTACAGTAACGAATATCATCCAGCAATTCATAAATATATTATTCTTATTTATAACAGTCAACCCAATGCTCAGTTTGTTCGAAATTATCAAGTCAAACCTTGGTAATGACATCCAGCAATTCACTTGCACGTTTACGGATCGGTTAGTCTAGTCCTATAACTAGTAACTCTATATATGTAAATTCTAATCAGCTAATTACCAATCGACGTTATATGCTCCACTGAGGCCTAGGAAAACGGGTTTATATTTCATTATTCTTTATCCTTATATTATACCAGCACCACATATCAATATCTGTTGTGTTCTGACGTATTTACTTTTGCAACATACTTCGTTGCCATATCCATAATCGATAAACGACTTACTGCTTTTTTCACGGTATTTTGAATCATTCATATGAGCGTATTATTTTATCATTCATATCGTCACAACGTAAATGCTTTTTTTGCTTTTGGATGCTTACTAATTAGCCCATAATTATGCGCTAACACTTTCCTTCCCTGTCCACATCTTTACGATGTCTATGTATTCCTCTTTACATACGTATGACACTTCTTCATTATACACTCACTCCCCCCGTGACAATTTACTCTATCAAACATAATACACATTTTTCTTCGCTACCCATTGTTAATTTAACGACACATCTCTTCAGTATTATATTTGAAAGCAAACATTTTTTCAAATTAATATGCTATTACCCAGTTTCCGCTTTTGAATGCATGTATTCTTCCTCATTTGTTTTGCATACCAGTGTTACCTCCAGATATTCTGGGAGGAGATATGTGGGGATAGTTAAACTAGACTTTTTCGTTATTAGTTTTTGCTACTATTTGCACCGTTCATTAATTCTCATAATTTGCTCAAGTACCAGTGTCGCCTGTGAAATAGTCGTTAAAGAAGCATGACCTTTGACCTCCCGTTCCGGTTTGTGAACATACATAACATGACCCACTGATTATCGATCAAAAATACGCTGCTGCACACAAAGGCTATTCTGAGTTCTGGACTGACCAATTTATTCATTCTCTCAGGCCACATTTTGACTTAGTCACTTACTGACTAATTTCAGATGACCGTATGTTTGTTGGTTGCTTATCCTATTCATTACGTGTCTATAGTTTATTTTTGATCTGACTACAAGTATTACCTAACTTGAATAAACTGAGTTGGCTCATCCGCCTTCTCCACTACGAGTCATATCTATCCACGTAGCTCTCTCCATTTCATGAATGAATGTACGTATTCAACATTCATTCTCGTATTCGATTTATATTTATTCCGCATTCACTAACGCGGATTAAGTTTATAATTATATACGAGGATTGGCGGCATGTATATTTCGGTGATAATCAGCATACGAACTAACTGGGGTCAGATACTGAGATACTAAAATATCATGCCACCAAGCATAGATACAAACCTGGTTAATAATTTTTATAGCACACTTTTATCCCTCTATATTATAGATCATGAACTATTATTTGCTTTATTTCAGAAATCAATAATCGGGACATAAGTCATCCAAAAATTCCATTTTTAGATCTTACTAAGAGGTGTTCAGAGGCGAGCAAGCAAAAGGGAAAGAAATGTGTTTGATACGACGGGTTTGAAAGATGCTACTAAGCAAATTTCTCAGGCCAATATATGGAAAAAAGCGATAAGTTTTGGACGAAATGAGACATTTGACGGGAGTCACAGGTAAATAAACATAAGACCACCACGGTAACAAAAGTCAAGCATCTACTAAGCCACTTGTCTTGGGTAACTATTTACTATCACAAAGTTTGCTGAAATCAGTATAAACCCTAAAAGTTTGTCATAAGGTCGCTGAAACTGACACCTGTGGTGTGCTGATGGACACTACTTCAACACGGACTCAACCAGGTGTCCATTCATTTATCAACCGAAAAAAACATAAACGCGTCCTACCTTATTCGTGCCAGCCAATGTAGTATTGATAGTTTCTCAACATTTTCTTCTCATCACAGAATTTTCATGAACCTATGTACAGACGACTGTTCGGCACGCAATCTGATGGATGTCGCTGTTAGGGAACTTCGATGTGGTTACCACTGTGAAATTCCTGAAAGATCATTTGACTAGCCTACACCTGTAGTGGCATTGAACAATAACCACACAATCCACAAAGCTGAACACGAGACTACTCAGAAAATAGATATTCAATATTTAACGCAGGGAAATACCTAACGATGGAGAAGGCGCGAACAAGGAATTGAATGGACTGGAGTTGATCGGATAGCATGGCTCGACCATGCAGGCGTGGTCCATCTGAACGTCACCTTATATCTTCTATTCATATTAAATATATTGTTCATTCTCTAGCCTAACCTTGTTCTACATCATGTATTGGTAATTGATACGATACAGTGAGTTGGTGTAGTCGATGGTGTGATTTCCACGTAAGATCTTATAGATTACGCAGTTATATCATGACAAATCTACAATTTTAGGATTAGGTCTATTATTAGAGCAGTACTAATATAATAGTAGACCATAATTCTACACACCTTTCTGTACCTGATATCAAACCATGATTCTTTAGCAGATCATAAAAAAGCCATTCATCTGTCTCTGCCAGATAACATTTTTATTTAGGTTCAACAAATCAAACTCCATTCGGTATTGGTTCTCACAAGTTCAAGACAAATAACTGGAATTAAAATGGTAAGCTGATGAAAGCGTTGTGAAATAAATCGTATGAGATGCATATATTAATGGAAAGTTAATGTATATAAACGATTAGTTGATGTTTTTTAGTGCTCTGCATACAAATGCAGGGATTCGAAGAAAACTGACAAAAGTAATAACATTATGGGAAGTGGAAGATAAAAAGTAGCTGAATACGAGTTACAACAATTAGTTGATCATTTTGGACCGTTTCCCGCCATACATCAACTGAGTTATCCCATAAATAATGGGGTTTGGAAGTCAGCAGTGACACATTGTCCTGGACAATCGTTATGACCTGGAGTAAATTAGGTTTGTCGTGACTTAAGTATTGGTTTTAACAATCGAATTGATGTGTCTCAATATGAGTACAGAAAATTATCTAACAAAATCAACGTCAAGCTAGTTGAACAGGATCAATGTATTTTATCTACAGTACAAGGCTTCCAGAAGTCACACTCAGCAAGTTATTACATCACACAGATGTCAAAACAAAGATTAGTGGGTAACTATCTGTGCCATTTTTCAATAATGGCAAATGATGCCGAAAAAATGTAAACTACCTTAATAGTGCTCAGCCTGCCTAGCCACTACGCTGTCAAAAGTTCCTCTTGCACGAAAATGTGTACTTTGGGGTGAAAAATGGTTAATAAATCCAAATCCCAAGTATTTTTGAATCGACAGTAATACTCCCTACAAAGTAGTATGAAAATTATGACCAGGAGAACTAAATTAATCTACAAATATTCCCAGCCGACACCCGGATAACAATGGTCAGTTGCTGCAGAGTCCAACCTTGAGTTCAGTCAATCGAGACTTGGTCGTCAACAGGCCAACACAATACAACTACTAAAAGAACATTAAAACAAACTTTAACTCAAATATAAAGATATCACGAGTATTTTTAGTCTGACAACGTCTCAACCAGTGACATCTTTTATAATCGAAGTATGCCAACCCGGTCAGATCAGAAGTCAGATGTACAGAGGCTAAAAGATACATTTAGTGGGCCACCAACTTATCGATAGGTGATTAATTTAAGCTGACTCATGGTTGTAGGAGATATGTAGCACGGCATACCCACTCATGACCTGGTGAGGATGCTCCTTTAGCTAGATGAGTCCGTTAAAACTGATGTGGTCAGTATCAAATGTCGAAAACGTACAGAGCTATTGATCTGGGGTTTTTATTAACCATCACAGGTGAAATAATGAATGTCTAGTCAATGAGGACTAAAAAATATCAAACATTATCACTGAAGTACTGGACAAAGGTTATTACAAAAAAGGTAAGGGAAAGCTTCTGTAAAACAGTATCAATATCACAGGAAAAATATTCGCGAGGTTCTCAAAGCATTCACTCTATTACAAAGGTTTCCAGTCATCCAGTTGGTACGCTTAATTTGATCGATGACTCGCAGTAGATTCCTAAAGACATAATCCCAGTGAACCATATCAAATCATAATGGATTACAAAGCAAATAAAAACACACTCCCCCTAAAACTTTGCGTTCAGCAATTCCAAGCAGTTAATCTTAAAGAATTGCAAGTTACAAAAAGTTTTGGGCTAATTATAAAGTCAGTATCTTCGCGCACTGCTCGATATTTCACATCATTTTTACTACACTAATATTTAACTCTCCAACGGATGATGTCTGGCGTACAAGTGGATTCAAAATGTAACCATACGTCAGAGATCTTTATTAGCAATGGCAGTGCGA